TTGTTTATTAGATGCTCAAGTACATGACGATTTCTTTTGTCCTTATATGTGGATGACATGATTATTACTAGTGATGACCATGGTGGTATTAAGTCTTTGAATCATGATCTAGCACGTCGATTTGCTATGAAGGACTTGGGCTTGCTGCGTTATTTCTTGGGTATTGAGGTAGCATGGTCTAAGAAAAGTTATCTTCTTTCTCAGACTAAATATATATCTGACTTGTTTACACGGGCATGCCTCTCTGATAATCGAATTGTAGATATTCCTCTTGAAACCAATTTACGGTACTCTCCTACTGATGATGTTCCTTTATCCAATCTGAATCTTTATCGGACTATCGTGGGAAGTTTGGTTTATCTCACAGTTACTCGTCCGGACATTTCTCATGTTGTTCATGTTGTCAGTCAGTTTATTACTACTCCTACTTATGTTCATTGGGGTGATGTACTCTGTATTCTGAGATACGTGGCACTCAGTTTCAGACCCTCTTGTTTCCCTCGATGTCATCTCTTAAGATACGTGCCTATAGTGATGCTGATTGGGATGGTGACCGTCATGATAGAAAATCCACCACTAGATTTTGCGTGTTTCTTGGAGAGTCTCTCATTTCTTGGAAGAGCAAGAAACAAGATTTTGTTTCTAGATCTTCCACAGAGGCTGAGTATCGTGCTATGGCTATGAACCACATGTGAGATTATCTGGTTACGGTGGCTTCTTGTAGACATGGGGGTCCACATTTCTTCATCTACTTCCCTGCATTGTGATAACAAAAGTGTGATACAGATTGCGAAGAATTCTGTTTCCATGAGTGGACGAAGCACATTGAGATTGATTGTCACTTCACTCGTCGTCACTTACAGCTCATGACCCTATATTTTCCATTTGTTCCATCTACATTGTAGCTTGCTGATATTTTTTCGAAGGCTTTGTCAGCGTCTCGATTTTGGTTTTTTTGTGACAAATTCTCAATGCTTATTACTGTGGCATTGTGAGTTTGAGGGGGGATGTTAGCATATATATAAGTTTATTATAAGCCCACTTCTTTTGGGCTCCGTTTTGTCTCTAGCCCATTAGGGTTAGGGTTAGCATAGCTTGCCTTTATATTCCCTATCTTGTTGTTCTTTGCTTTTATGATTTTCAAGAACCTTGTAATCTCTCTCTTTCATTAATCAAACCTCTGCTCTGATATAATAGATTCGTATGATTAATGAAAGAGAAAGATTACAAGGTTTTTGAAAAGCATAAAAGCAAAGAACAACAAGATGGGGAATATAAATGCAAGCTAAGCTAACCCTAACCCTAATGGGCTAAAGACAAAAAGAAGCCCAAAACAAATGGTGTTATAGTAAACATATATATGCTAACAAAATGTATGGTTAGGCATAAAATATTGTCATTCATAATGATTGGTACATGTTATATGTATTGGTGAGCACATGCTATCATTTTAGTAAATACGAGAAATCAAGGATGATCCTAGATCTTTTTAAGAGTTGCTTGAGGATATACATGTGATTAACTTCATTAATACTTTAATTTCATCTTGTAGAAAATATATATATATATATAATATATATATAATATATATATATAGATATATATATATATATATAAACATAAAACAAAAAGAGTATAAAAATGCTCATGTTCAAACTTTGCAACGTGTTCAGATCCTACACAGTCTCCATAAAACCATAATCTCACCTACCACCCTCATCCTAACCTATATATTTATACACATTCATTTATACATTCAGGTCATCTGTTATATCAACCACTAACCAGTATAGTGGTGGATGTCGTATCATCACAACACTCCCTACCACTAACCCATGGGATACTAACCACTAAACACACCACTCCACCTTATTTTTTTAATTAAATTTAATTCAAAAATATAATGAAAATACAATAAACGACATTTTTAATACTAGTTTTTTATTCAATAAAAATCATTACAATAATTTAAAAAACAACTTAAAATAAAAGAGAAAAAATCCATAAAAATACAAACACAAACAAATTAAACTAGTTTTTTAAACCCTATTTTTAAGCAATCCATTTTGGAGAATCCTTAATTTTTAGCCAAGTTTTGAGGTGTGTAACGGTCTGTGGTTTATGTCTTCATATTGATGCATGACCACCACAACTGGATCGATATCGCCTTCGTGTCCGTTGTTTATAACAGAATTATAAATTCTAACGAACTCACGACATTTTACCCTCATATCGCGATACTTGGAACATATTTCGTCAAGATTATGACTTGGACCACCCATTAAATCATGGAAAACGTTTCGAACTCTTCCCCAAAAATCTCTAGACACACCACTACTTACGTCTTCCGAAACCGACACCCATGCTGCTGCTAACTTCTCTTCTTCCTCTTCCGACCAAGTCCGCATTTTGGGAGCCATGTTTTTTGAAAGATCAAAAAACATAAATGTGTGATTGTGAGAGAAGAATTGTGTGAGATAGAAGAAGGTGTATTTTGGTACTTATATAGTAAGCTTATAATGATATTTTTATTTAGGTAAAAATAAAAAAAAAACCCTAAACTAGCCATTAGAAGCATTAAATTGCTATTCAATTTCATTGGCCGTTGCTCTCCGTTGTATACACCACGAACGGCCATGAAGACGGAGGACCACAGAACCTTAGGGTGGTGTGCACGGTGGTTTTCCATGGCCACGTATACCACATACTCATTTGTGCTTTGTATACCGTTTGGTCTCATATTCCATCCTTAGACAATCAAAAATATCCCCTTTATAATACATCATCAATACAAATCCACTAATCCTTGTATACCTATAAAATTACCATCAAAATAAACTTTTCCACTTTTGATTTGTAAAATTAGAACTTACGTTGTAACTTTTATTTGGGTAAATTACACCATTCGTCCCTCGTCCACACGCCAGAAAGCGTGTTTAGTCCATATTTTCAAAATTTAACTCGGACCGTCCCTCGTTCGTTTAAAACTTGCACGTTTCGTCCCTCTGGACATAAAAAGACCATTTTGCCCTTATTTATTTCTTTTTTAATTTTCTTTTTATTTGTTTATTATTTTTAAATTACAAAAAAAAACAATAAATATACATACATGAACCCCACCCCTACCTGCTTCCCCCTCCTATGTATTCCTCTACCTTTGTCCCCCCGTTCTCAGCCACTCCCGACGCCGGCGAAGCCCCATCACCCTCACCTTCACCTTCACCCCAAAGAGATAAACCAAAATCGGACCAATCGATCTTCATCCTCCTCCAATCGCCTCTGTCAAACCCTAGAACTCAAGAAGGAACTGTACATGCAATCATCAGCAGCACCACCATCGCCGATGGAATCATCAACAACACCACCATCGCCGTTGGAATCATCAACAACACCACAATCACCACCACCATCTCATATCTCCACTCAACCCTAAGTCGCCTCTCGTTTTTACTATTCTCGATTTGCAGCAAATCAAAAGATCGAAAAGAGAGAAGTAAGCTGCGATTAATGTCCTTTCTTCTTCTTCTTTGAATTCAATCGGTCATCTCTCTCACTCTGTCTCACAAATCGCCAGAACCTCTTGCAATCACCACCAGTCATTACTCAAACCTCAATAAATGAACCCTGAACCTGCAAATGAAACCAAACCAAACCCTAAACTTATAAACCGAAGATGATGGAGATTCAGATCAGAGAAGTGGGTTCAAATCAAACCAAATCTTTTCCATCGACAACGGAGACGGAAAGATGATCACATTATGGGTGGTGTTTAAGATGGTTTTTAAGGGCTGATTTGGTTGTTGTTCTAGGCGGTTTTAGTAAAGATAAAGTTCAGAAACTGGGGGGATAGAGATGGTTGGCTTCGAGGGTGATAGTTGTTGTTTGGAGGCAATGAACCGATGATGTTCGAATGGTGTAGGCTGTACGAAGGTGGTTCCGACTGAGGTGGGTTTTCCGATTTTGAAGGTTTGGTTTAAAGTGGGTGTTCGTTGCGGTTTGTGACGACGAACAGGGGTGCAACAAGGGTGTTCAGATGGTGGTGTAACCCGGAAAAGGAGGAGGTAAGAAGCTGGTGGTGGGTTTTAAGGTGGTATAAGTTATATGATTGAGGAAGAAGAGTGGAATTAGGAAGGTGGCGATGGAAGTATGGTGTTTGAGAGATGAAGGTGGTGTTCATCCGATGATCTGTTGGGGTGGGGTATGAAGTGGGGCCATATTATTTTTTCTTTTATTTTTAAACTAAAAATAATAACTATAACATTAAATTAAATGGAAAAGAAATATAAAAGGGCATAATAGTCATTTTAGGTCTCGCTAGGGATGAATCTCGCAAATTTAAACTAACGAGGGATGAAGCATGCAATTATTAACCAAACGAGGGACAGTCCGAGTTGATATTTGAAAATAGGGACTAAACACACTTTCTGGCATGTGCACGAGGGACGAATGGTGTAATTTACCCTTTTTATTTTTTACTTTACAAATTAAATCGAAATGATCAAAGAATGTTTATTTCATTGTTCTTCATATATTTCTTATGCTTTTAAAGTTCATATTTGAGATAATTCAACTTTATTCTATATTTTTTCATTTTAATCCTTGAAATTTATGGAGAACGTGTTTTGAGAATGAAATATGGATTCATTATCAGCAACTTATTTTCAACACCTTAGAAAAGTTAATAACATCTGTTGAAATTTTATAAATGAAAATAAGAACAAAATTTTATAAATGAAAATAGGAACAATACATATGATGCCTAAAATGAAACATAATTTGGTCATGATTAAGATCATATAAAACTTCTTGAACAATGAACACACATATATAAACCTAAAGGAACTTAGACAATACACAATACTACAATACTACAATAGAGTAAAGGAAATCGAAAATAACTGTTTTAATACCTTTGAAACGATAAAGGCATAGTGAAATGGTTGTGACATGTCCATAGAGGCATAAGACTAACTGCCAGTGAAATACGTACAAACGGGGTGCTAAAGACTTGCAATTAGAGATTTTACTGACTCTTCTGCGATTATGTAATACATGTTTTCCGTAAAATGAACAGCATCCCAGTAAATGTATTTTGAACGATTCGTACATGTACTCAATCCCTTTAAGCTTGCCCCAAATTGTGTCAACCCATCTCCACAACAACCCTTTTTAGATTCTGTAAAACCTGCCAATTTCATTTTAACCAAAAACATTTTACAAGAATTTCTCATGGTTTTATGTGTTAAACTCAAAAATACTTTTTTTTCAATAATTGTTAGGATGAAACTACATGTTAACTTTTACATGTTATTTGTGCTAAAATTTATAGAATAATAATTGATAGTTATTTACTTAGAAATTTATGAGTTTGTTATTACTTAAATTACGTAGAAAATCTTCACATTAGTAGTTTCTTAGCTAGTCGGTATGTAAATAGATGCTATATTCGAATCCAATAACTTTATAAATAAGTCCAACCAAAGTGTTTCATCAATTTTCTAGACAAAAATGAAAATTTTCAATTCGGACTACATATATATATATATATATATATATATATATATATATATATATATATATATATATATATATATATATATATATATATATATATATATATATATCAAAAGATCAATATTTGCAGAAGATGAAGATACTTACCATATTTTGTTGGGTTTTGTAAGGTGTTTTGAATGACACCATAAATGTCAACAAAAATAGTACTCATGTGCAATGTTTTTTCGAGGGTCAACAACTTTGCCTTCAACAAAATGTTAAAAGAAAGAGCCACTTGGTTCATTTCCTTGTTGCAATCAACATTATTCGTTAATGTCTTTATCATAGGCATACATCCGAATGGCTCCATCCCGACAACCATCAATCTGGTTACTCCTAGTGAATGCATTTCCTATAATTTCCAAAAACAAATAATATATGGATACTGTTTTTGCATTTTTAAAGCATGTTTTTCTGAACAACATTCTTATAGCGGGATTGTGAAAAATACAAAATGTATCCTAAGATCCTGGTTTTTGTCACGGATTACGATCGAAAAAACATACCTTATGTACACTTAAAATTTATTAAGGTTTTTTAATTCTCTAGTTATTTATAATTACAAGAAAAAAATTTCACATAATGATATAAGGAAAAATATTGATAACATGAGAACAAATCTTGACTACATGATTTTCAACATCCACAAGACCAGAAAATCATTGTTTCTTTTTTGGTTTATTTAAGTTTTAACCTTTTATTTTATTAGAAAAAAGGGACAAAAAACTGAAGATATCAAATTTAATGAATTCTTACCGTCATGTAACTTTCCATACAATTGATCAAGAAACCTTGGTATTGGGCGATGGTAAACATCTGGGATCGAGTAGGATCAATGTAGTAATTTTGTAAAAAGTCGTTTGTGCCCATGCTCAAAATGAACACAGCATTCTCTACAATCCTATGTGAAGATTCTTCTCCCACAAGCTTCCCTAAACGAGTCTTATACTCCTTAAAGTAGTCCAATTGTTTTCGAAGAGACATAACATTCTGCATTTAAAAAGAAAACAATAATTAGTTTTAACATGAATCAATTTGTTATTAAGTAGTAATTTATTGTTTTAAATGACACATGTTAATGTTAATTGATTTAAGATTAACAATCATGGACATAATAATTTTAACCTCTAAAGCCAATAACAAAGATTAATTGGAACAATAATCTTGTAAAATGATGATCAAACTTGTAGAAAGTTATAACTTATAACTAATGACTTTCTAGCACACCACTAGTAGTTTGTTTGCACCCACGATTCGTAGTTGCTTTTATAAAATATATTATATACCACTAGTAGTTTGTTTGCACCCACGATTCTAGTTGCTTTTATGAAATATTTTTCATACTACACGTGATATCTAGCATTAATTAATTGCATCATTCCACATAATTAAGACGTGATATCAGAGATCAAGATTTCAATACATGGTTTAATGAGAGAGTTGAATGAGGTGACATGTCTAACTGACATTCAACGGATTAAGCTCTACAATTTTATGATGTCATGTTGGCTTTCAATGGATATGAAGTTCGATGACCATTGAACTCTTCAGAGGTATAAAGGAAACCTTTTTAATTCTTAAATATATGTTCATTGAACTTTGTAGACTTTAATGCATTACATAAAAATTTTTATAGAGTTGTATGGATAATAGAATCATGATGTCTCAAATCATTGCACTTTAAAGGGTCCAATTTATTGTGGATGGCCTCAGATTTTTTTATTTAATCATTTAATTTACACTTATCTATAAATTGAAGTTTTATAACATTTCATCAAATATTCTACTTAATCGTTGATCAAACACTAAAAGCACTAACAAGTGATGAATTTAACAATACTCGGGTAGATTAACATATTCACCGGCCATTAGAGTTGTATGGAGAGTAAAATCATGAAGGCTTAATCCATTTCACTTTAAAAAGTCCAATGTATTGTGGATGCCCTTACATTTTTTATTTAATCGTATAATTTACATTTATCTATCAAATTGAAGGTTTATAACGTTTAATCAAATATTCTACTTAACCGTGGATCAAACACTATAGGGTGATCAATTACCAACTGTCGAGTATATTAACATATTGACCGACCATGATAAGGTCTCCTATTTAAGACACACTGCAGGCATGTCCTCTATAACATCAAACTTGGTTAGAATTTAAAAGTTTCAGCTTTAATAAAGCAATCGAGAAAATTTATGTAATAATTAAATTAATAGACTCCGAGTAATTTTAATTTAGTATGGTGACAATTTGACCATTTTTTCTGTTTAACTAAGTTTGTTTCTTCTACCAATTGAACTTGTTCTAATACCAAATTTAACCGAAATCAACACATATATCCATCAATAAATGAAATCTCTACATTTAGGTTTATATGTCACTTACAGTGATATTATCCGCTGTGAAATCATCATAACCAGAACCACCTGATGCAAAACTAACACCATGCAACAAGTCCTCATCCATCAGATTTTGATCCAAATAAGCTTTGATTGTGTTTGTATAACCTAAAGCCTCAGCTGCACATACACAAACAAACAACTAATCATGAGCATATGCATGGTTCAAAAAAGTCAATTACTTACGATACAACACTTATAAAAGTACGAGCTGGCTAGGCACCTTCCACAAGTATCGATGCTACAAGTATTCATGCATGAAAATTATACTAAAAGTTACCAATCATATCTGTGGAGAGTCTGCCATTGGTGAACCTTCCGGTTGGGTTGGAATGACCGAAATCTTTCCCATAAGGCAGAAAGTTTCCTTTGTGCCATGTATTTGGAAGATTGTTGTTGTTACCAGGATCAACACTCGAATCACCAAATACCAGAATACACGTAACATTGTACTTGGCTGCAAGAACCCTAAGCTTCCGAGCACTGTGCACGACACGTGCATTGCATGTGACCACAACCTCGAACAATAGTATCACTATTACTAGGTTAACTGCCACCCATGCTAAATGTTTCATTTTCAACCGATAAAGAATGTTTTGTGGGACAGAATGAACAATATTGTGACTGGCCTCTCAATGGTACGTTTTTATAGACATGCCATTTAATATTGGTAGGTTTGGGCATGACATATGAAGCCAAATCCATTTATTGTAACTTTGAAAACATGTACAAAAGAGACACATAAGCAACATCAATATCGTCACTAGCATCAATATAGTCATATATCTTAATTGTTGTAGTTGGATTTGGATTTGCATTAACAGTTGGGAATCAGCGGATATATATATATATATATATATATATATATATATATATATATATATATATATATATATATATATATATATATATATATATATATATATTAGCGATAAATTGGCAACGGATCTTATGCAAAAACAATATTGTAAGAGATTAGCAAGTAGCTAATCTGTCACATAAATTTAGATGATTAGACATGGTGGAAATTAGTATCGAAAATCTATTGCTACGATTAATAAAAAAAAGTATAATTATTTTTGAAATTAATGGTATGTAGTTAATCACTATAAATTAAATGCTAAAGGTTAATTTTCAAACTCGTCGGACGACATTTCTTTAAAGATTTTAAAAATTTTATTGTTATTATTATTACTATTGTCTACTATGTTGTCTATATTAAATTTATTATAAGCATTATAACTATTATTATCAAATTGTTTGATTAAAAATGCATATTTATTAAGACTAGTCCACTTGATATAAACTTTGCCGGAGATTATGGATTGTAATGCAGGTTTTGATTGATTTCTACTTGGTTATACACACTAAAAAAATACACATTTATGTTGTCCTTTGAATACATCCTGACATAGTTCCATAATCATTAAGATGATCATAAAACATGATACTAAAGTACTCTCCTTTCCTTTCAGATTGGAGAAATTTTTATCTTTTTGCCTAATAGATTCTTCATATTCGTTCTATTACACTTTGAAAACTTTTCCAAGTGTTAGAATTATGCTTAATCTTTTAAACACAACAATCTTCACTGAAATATCGGTAAACCATGACGAATAGAGTTATCGTTCTTTGTGGTGGATATAAATAGTCCACATCAATGTGTACTAAATCCTTTAGTCCTTCACTTGACTCACATAAACATGTGATCAACGAATTAGTAATGATCTGTCAATGATCAAGATTCTCATACGTCACACAATTCGAATTGTATGACTTCAAGTTTCTATCCAACTGAAACTTGGGTGATGAGAATTCATTTTCACTTGGTTAATCATGACATTACCACAAACGATATAATTAAGAATTAATCCACATTTAACATTGCTAATAATAAAAATATAACCACCAATTCTCATAAATTTCATTGCAAGGAAATACAAAATAAATAAATCAAAATTTCACTTTTATTGATAATATGCGGAAAAATTTGTCCTTACAATGCAAATATATGAAAACTATGTTTCTAGATATTTCCTAAGCAATCTATTAACCTATCATAACTCCGAAGTAGCCGCTTCCAAAATCTGATAATCGAACCATGTGACCGAAATCCATCTCTCACGATCAGATTCAGCTTACTCTTCTCAAGCTTCCTTCTTTCTCTTAGGTCCTGCAAAAACATCAAAATGTGACTATCACATCATGTATTAAGAATCTATGAATAAGAACTTAATAAAGTAGAGTTAGATAGTAGATGTACCTGAAGTAGAGTCATACGACTTGACTTTACCATCTCTGAGATCTTTCAGGTATTCTGGGCAGATTCGTATCCAATGCCCCTTCAATTGGCAATAAAAACATATGGACCTTTTAGGATTAGCACATGGGACTATCTCTGGATTAGCCTTTCTCTTTACCATATGGTTAAACATTTTGACCTTGGCCAATCCCTTTTCATTGGGAAGAGAAACCTTTTCCGGACTACCAATGTTGCCATTGTCAATGTCCATGGAAATTTGGGAGACAGATCCTTCAAACATATTTGCTTGACTTGTGCTCTTAAGCATTTTTGCTTCAGCAGCCATCAACATATATGTTAGATCCATTAGGGTCACGTTGTGGTCCCTCTCATAGAAATATCTAATGAACTGACTATATGAGTCAGGAAGTGAAAGTAGAACCAAAGCAATGGCCAGCTCCCTTGCGAAAACGACACCCAACATCCCCAATCTGTCAATGTGTCATTTCATTTTCAGAACATGCGCACATACAGACTTCCCATCTTGATGTTTACATGCCAATAGGCTTGAGTAGCTTCATACTTTTCAACTTGAAGAATACATGACTTAGGGAGAGTCATTGGAGGAGGTGGAGGAAGAGTTGTAGAAGCATGAGTTCTAGTTCCACCATTGCTTGTAGAAGGGAACATTCTTTCACCTTGATCAACATGTGGAAGATCATCTTCAGATAGAGAAGGAAAAACATTTCCAGATGGACAAGAAAAACCATTGATGTCTGAACTTGACATCTATAAAGGGAAAAAAGAGAATTCAAGTTAGTTGATTTTAATCCATAATTATTAACCCAAAATTTTAAATTAAGGCTGGGATCCATATTTTCGATTCGAATTCTGAAGAAGGATGCCATAATCAAATTCGAATCTACTCTAGGTAGGTAAAGAATTTACCAATTTCAATCTTATGAAACTCCTAGATATTTTGAGAGTCATTGAACTATTCAATGACATGTTTAATCTCGGTTATGCTCTTACTTTGTGACTGGGATGCCGAGGATCACAAACGAGATGTAAATAACCATACAAATTAGCTTGGTACTCTCCATGTCATTTATCATCTGAAATTAATGTGTCGGTTAACCACACACGCTCCATTAATTCAATGATAATTTACGAGACACCCATTGCCAACAATATTAGTCTCATATTAGTGTGTCGGTTAACCACACACGCTCCACTAACGACAAATAAGGTGCAATGTGCAATTTCATGGGTTAGCATCAAATTCACATTTTTCCTATAGTAACTAAGAATGGGATTTTCGAAAATGGTTCAGTTACTTTATATAACATTATACTTATTAATGATATTTAATTGTCCTATCGAACCCGTTCGGCTAACGACCCTCCACCATACAAGAGAGTGGTGGGTAAGAATGGATACCCAATGACGATCATTTTACAAGCCGCTTCCTTAAACTCCCATTATAGTATGGCTTCGTGAATGAGGTGTACTAGCGATTTGACTGACATTTCTTATATGTATAATATATATTAAACTATTAATTATATATATAGTATAAGGTGAATTTTAAACATTTTAAAAATTCTAAGGGTTTAATCTTTTAATAAATTAAACTTTTAATTTAAGTAAATTTAAACCATGTATGGATTTATTAGTTATCCTTTAATTAACCATTTAACTACATTATTAACAAAATCCATAAGAATGTAATTTAGGGTTTACATTTTAAATTTCAAAAATTAAATCTTTTAATTTAAATTTCAAACAACCCTAAAATTAACTTTAATTAATAATTAAATTAATATATTTAGTAACCAATTATGGATATATTAATTATGCTTCAATTAAACAATTAATTAAATTATTAATCATATCCATAAGGATAATTATAATTAAATAAAATCAACATTATCCAATTCATAAATATCTCCTAACATTTAGGTCATATTTAATTATCTAACATTACCAAAAATTGATTATGGCAGATTTAATAAAAGATAATTAACAAATATCAACCAAATAAATCAAGTTAGGCAAGAAAATCTGAAATCAAGATCTGACGCACAAACTCGCCGAGTAGGACGACCAACTCGCCGAGTTGCATTCCAACACGCCGAGTCTGAAGAAACAACTCGACGAGTTCGAAGAACAGAATGACGATTCTGTTTTATCCTCCTTGTTCAAGTTCATATTAGTATCAATTCAATAGAAAACTAAACCTAGGCTCTGATACCACTAATGGGTTTTGAGCAAAACATACAATCCTATGTGTGCATGCAACCCTAATTGAAGATTTATGTTTTCTCTAATTTAACAAACAATAATGAAAAAAAAAGCATAAACCCTAGATCTATGGATAATAGTAAAAAATACACATAATAGGGTTGTAATACATACCTTTAAGATTGTTATTGTAAACAATCTTGAATCATTTCTTGAAAGACCTTTGGTAGCAAGCGCCACAAGTGTCGCACCTCTAATGGTTCACAAACAAACTCAAGCAACTAAGGAATACTATATAGAGAGAGTAATTGAAGAGAAATTTCGGCCCTTAGGCTCTTGGAGGAGTCATGGCCGAAATTTAACCCTTAGGAGGGTTTATATAGGTGTTAGGAAGATATTGGATAAGGTAGGTATATCCAAAAAACCCTAATCCCTTAACTTCCTCCCTAAGGCATCCAAGGCACCCTTAGAGCCCAAGGAAACCCTAAGAGCATCAAGATTTCGTTCCCCCCCCCCCCCCTCTTAAGGGAGGTTCTAGAATAGTCCAATGCTCAACTATTGAACATTGTCACCTTTAGTCCTTACAGTTTCAATTAATTCCTTTAATCCCAAAATTAATTCTAAATTAATTTCTGATTAAATATTAATTAAACAATAAGATTTCTAATTAATGTATTACTTCCATAATACATTAATAAATCATTTATTTTGATTTCTAGTTAATTTATTAACCAATTAATAAATCATTCTTCTCTCTCTAACATTCATCTTATTCAATTGCCAGGTTTGAAGGCAACCCAAAAGGACTGTGCTACTATCAATTCAAGTTTATACCAATTATAGTTATGGGCTTAGACACCTAATCCAACACCATCAATAGCCATCACCTCAGGATAGAACATGCCCAAGTGCTCATCCAAAATCTCCAGAATCCCCTCCTTGACCCAACCAAAGATCACAAGAGTCTTCTCCAAAATATTGTTAGTAATCTCTAATGAGATGAACTCCCACATCTGCTCGCTAATAGGCTCAGTACCTGCACTTCAGTCTGGACCAGAACCAAAACCTCCTTCCTGAGTGCTCATCGCT